TCATCGCTCCCCCCACCCCCAGCACGCCAACCAACTATTCAACTTCCTCCTCCACCAGGCATTGTTGGAAATGAACCCGGAAGAGGTCATTCCGAGAAAACAGAGGAACCTGTATCTATGGAAATAAGCAAGGTAGGTCTCATATTAAATTCTTGATGCAATCAGCGTAAGTTTGGATTCTGGGAAGAGCCATGGAAAAGGAAAAAATGCGCTATGAATAAATTTTATTGTGTTTGTTTTGCCACATAAAATGCAAAAGTAAATGAAATATGATTAATGCTTTTGTTTAAAATGTTTGGCGTGTTGTGGTTTTAGTCTGTATATTAGAAGTAGATAATCTTATGAATTTGAACATATATCAAAAGTCAATTTATTGAGTTTTAATTTTGAGCCAATGTTATATTTTCCCTCATTTTTTCCTTCCAAATTTGAACCATATGTTCTTATCTATTTTCTTTCTCTAGTGCTTTCATGCTCCAAACAGGCCCTTATTGTAGGTGTGGCGCTACAAGTGAAATGACAGGAACCATTTTCCTTGGTTGTTTAATGAATAATGTTTTGTTGGTTAAATTTGTCTTATCTATGGAAATAAGCAAGGTAGGTCTCATATTAAATTCTTGATGCAATCAGCGTAAGTTTGGATTCTGGGAAGTGCCATGGAAAAGGAAAAAATGCGCTATGAATAAATTTTATTGTGTTTGTTTTGCCACATAAAATGCAAAAGTAAATGAAATATGATTAATGCTTTTGTTTAAAATGTTTGGCGTGTTGTGGTTTCAGTCTATATATTAGAAGTAGATAATCTTATGAATTTGAACATATATCAAAAGTCAATTTATTGAGTTTTAATTTTGAGCCAATGTTATATTTTCCCTCATTTTTTCCTTCCAAATTTGAACCATATGTTCTTATCTATTTTCTTTCTCTAGTGCTTTCATGTTCCAAACAGGCCCTTATTGTAGGTGTGGCGCTACAAGTGAAATGACAGGAACCATTTTCGTTGGTTGTTTAATGAATAATGTTTTGTTGGTTAAATTTGTCTTCCTAAATTCTATGACAGGGTTCATCTATGCTTCCACCACCACCTCCACCACCTGGACTACTATTGAGATCACAAGGCTCATCTTCTGAAAACGATTCTAAAACTCCAGCAGGGACAGAAGATATGCTAAGAATGGCTCCACCACCACCTCCTCCTCCACCAAGGCAACAACAACCTTTTGTTCCTGGGTCCGCTATGATCCCACCTTTGCAGCCTGATGTACTGCCACCTGGAATTTCTCGATTTCCTCCACCTCCTCCAGCTACTGATATGGGGCTACCGCCACCTGGAATAGTTGGCCAACATCCTCTTCCTCCTCACCCTGGTGTAATGGTTGTTCCACTAATTCCTAAACTACCCTACGGACTTCCACCTATGATGAGACCACCACTTCCACCTGGCCCGCCTCCAATGCCACTACCTTCTCAAAAGCCATCCTACATTAAATCGGCTGCATCAACAGTTGTCAAGAGGCCTCTTGCGCAGCATACCCCAGAGCTCACGGCTATGGTGCGTCAATTGTTTTGCTAATACAATCAATATCCTGGCATCCTTGGTACAAGTTACCACAGTGACTGCTAGAGTGCTAGCCAATGTTTTCCGGCTTATCAACTTTTTATACCAACACTAATTTATTTAGCTGCCAAAGCTCATGGGTTAATAACTGACTAAAGTGGTTGAAGTAGCTGATTAATGGATCATTTTTTCTTTATTTTACTGATACTATATGTTTGGACCATATTTTTATAATAGAGCAATTTCAGCCAAATTCACCCTTAACCAGAGTGGCTCTTGCTCTCTTGATTGGTATGTTTGCAGGTTCCTGCATCTGTTCGTGTGAAGAGAGAATCTACACTTCCAAAGTCTAAACCAAAGGCATCAACAACCATTGTTGTGAGCAACCACCACCAGCCGACATTTAGTAGAGAAATTTCGAAGCAAGAATCTAGCAGGTCAACTCAGCCAAAGCCACCAAGTATCGATGACTCTTATATGGCATTCCTGGAAGACATGAAAGCTCTTGGGGCTCTTGATGGTGGTAATTGACCTCAGTGTGATTGTGGTCCTACAGTAGTAGATTCCATTTAGTAGGGCATTATGTCACCTGTACTTTCCCCATATGGTTTGGTTGGCTTGGCGCCTTGTCTTGATTTCCTTCCTGATGGTGGGGGAGGAGAGTGGTGATTGGTGAAAGGGTTGTGTTTGGATTTTCTAACTGTTCATTCTATGTGGTTGGCAATCTGCTTTACCCCAGACATATCACACAATGTACTTCTGATAAATTTAACAAAGGAACACTTGTTTCAGTTGACAGCATTGAGAAATAATAGTTTTTTTTATTTTTTTTGTTTGTTAGGAACATGTGAAAAAATCAGAAAACAGAATCCCCTCCTTTTTCGTAAACCTTCTCTGAGATTAAAACTCTATTCTTTTTTTTTTTACTCCAGGGGGCCTGGGGGCCTGGAGTAATCACGGCTTAAACTCACTTTGTTGAGTTTCAAACCCTTATGCCTAGTGGGTTTCGAACCTGAGACCTCCCACTAGGTACGGTAACCTCACAACCAGCTGGGCTGGAATGATTGGTCAGATTAAAACTCTATTCTCTACAAGACATCTATGTTTCTTTAAAATGGTTTCAGAATTCTTTTCCAGATACATTTTTACTTTATTAGTCATTTTTACATGTTGTTGTTGTTGTAGTCTTTTGGGACTAAGACTTGGAGTCTTGGATGTTGTTGTTGTTGTAGTCATTTTTACATGTTAATTATTAATTAGGGGTGGATTCGGGCTTGGCCGGGTCCGGGTCCGGTTCGGGCCTAGGCCCGGGCGGGTCGGCAGGTCTGAATAGGTGGACCCGGGACTAGGAGTGGACTCGGGCCGGGCCAACCGGCCCGAAACCGGAACGGCCCGCTACCGTGCGGGCTCGGACCGACCCGGTGAACCGGTTGGTTGCCCGGTTCGGGCTATGGATGGACTCGGGTCCGGGTCGGGCCTAGGCCTGGGCGGGCCGGCGGGTTAGAAATGGTGGACCCGGGACCGGCCCGGGTAACCACCGGGTCCGGGCTGGGCCGGGCCGGGCCCATTATAATTTTTTGTTTTGTTTTCCTCTTCCTAATTAACCCCCCTCCCACCCCCAACCCCTAAACCACCCCAAATGGCCCAAAATACCCAGCCCAACCCAAAAATTTAAAAACAATTGAAAAAAAAAATTGTTTTTGGCCCGAATCGGGCCCGGGCCTGACCGGGTCGGGCCTTGTTTTGGGTAAGCCCGGACCGGAAAACCCACGGGCCGGACCTACCCGGACCGGTCACTGACCGGGCCACCGGGTCGGGCCGGGCCGGGCCGGAACAGTACCGGTCCCGAGCCGGTTCCGGGTCGGGCCACCCGGCCCGAGTCCATCCCTAGTTCGGGCCACCCGGCCCGGTGGGATGGCGGTTCGGGCTCGGGCCCTTCAAAAGGTGAACTGGCCTGGCCGGTTCAGGCCCGGGCCGGACCAATTTATTTTTTTTTTTGAATTTTTTTTAAGTTTTTGGGTTGGGCTGGGTATTTTGGGCCATTTGAGGTGGTTAGGGTTGGTTTGGGGGTGAGGGGGGAGGGTTGGGGGTTAACTAGGAAAAGCCAAAAAAAAAACTAGAATCGAGGCCAGGCCCGGCCTGGACCCGGGGGTTACCCGGGCCGGTTCCGGGCCTCCCCCTTCATGAACCGAGGCCCGGCCTGGCCCAGGCCCGAACCGGAACCGGTCCACCCCTACCCGGGACCGGCCCGGGTAGCCACCAGGTCCGGTCCGAGTCCGGGCCGGACCTTGGGCTTGGTTAATTTTTTTTTGCTTACCTACCTATCCCTGACCCCCACCCCCCCAAACCCCCAAACCCCTCCTAAACATCAAGCCCAACTCGGGTGGAGCCCAAACAAATGAAAAAAACCAAAAAATTCAATTTGGCCCGAACCGAGCTTGGGCTCCGCCGGGCCTTGTTTTGGGTGACCCGAGCCCGGACCGGAAACCCCTTGGGTCAGGCCTACCCGGACCGGTCACTGACCGGGCCATCGGTTCGGGTCGGGCCGGAACAGTGCCGGTCCCGAATCAGTTCTGGGTCGGGCCACCCGGCCTGAGTCCACCCCTATTACTCCGTATTAATTATCTATGTACAAACTGCACATAGATTGTGTGTGCAATCCGAGTGTGTTAAAGTAAGGAATATGTCACTAAAGTTATTTCTTTGTCATCTACACAAATTTCAACTAAATACTCCGTCTAGTTCTCAAACAATTTCCCACTTTTCCTTTTGGGAAGTCCCAAAATTAACTTCACACTTCTTCTTATTTCCTTATTTGGCAAATTGTCTACACCAAAACAGTGCAAAACAATGCCAAACGGTGCCAAACAGTGTCCAAACAGTGCCAAACAGTGCACTCCACAGTAAAGTCAAATTTATTTTCTTAATCTGTGTGAAGTCAAACTGTGAAGCTTTTTGAGAATCGGAGGGAGTAATTTTTATTTTATTAATCTACGTGTATGTCAACATTGATCAAATATTTCTGATTCATCTAAAACTAAAGAATTAGAAATTCAATCTTTCCAAAAAAAAAAAAGAATCTTTTCAATATTAAAATCAGCATATAGGAGGGATAAATAATTTTTCACTTTTAAGAGAACACTGCTTTAAATCCTAAACGTAATAATAATAGTTATTTCACAAAAATAAAATACAATCGTACAAATCAGTATTACAATTTTAACTTAATATTACGGGGTTCTCAATTTTTTTGGGTTTTGACATCAATATTACTAAAAAATAATCAATGGACAAAAAAGAGACTTTTTATCTAAGTTTCCACATAGCTTAATTCCTACATTCCGTAATACGAAGTATTATTGCACTGGGTAAGAGTATTTATTAATAATGCCCTCTCTAATCATTAATGCTTCTTTTGATTTAAAAATTATTTCATGCTTCCTTTGATTTTAAAATTATCTCACAATCGAAAATGTTTAATTTCTTAAACTACTCCGTATAATTTATGTTAAAACGGTTTCAGTTACTACCGGCTCAGTGATCATCATTCCAGTTACTACCGTTCCGGTGACCAATGTCTCAATTATTAGCGCCCCAGTTACTACCACTCAGTTACTACCGCCCCAGTTACTATCGCTCAGTTACTACCGTCCCAGTTACTACCGCTCAATGACCACTACGTTTCAATTACTACCACTCCAATGCATCATGCCAATTACTACCGCTCCATTAAACACCGTCATAGTTACTATCGCTCCGATGATCACCGTTATAGAGACTTGACCTGTCATAGTGACCACCATTATAGTGACTTGACCCGACATAGTGACCACCGTCCAATGACCAAAGTCCGTCCGTCCAGTGACCAATGTCCCCCGTCCAGTGACCGACATCCTCATCCAGTGACCAACGTCCACCCGCCCGAAAGTGACTCCAATGATGGCCGCCACACCGGCGGTGACAATGACCGCCCACTGCCACCAGTCCAGCCCCACCACCACCAACCCAGCCCCCTTGTCCCCAACTCAGCCCTCCAAGCCCCCTTCCTAACCGCACTGTCGTTGTCCTTGAACCTCACCAAACTACTGTCGCATTAGAGCCTCATTTGCATCGGCGTGACGGTGTCGCACTGGAACCTCAACCACACTGTTGTCGCCTCAGAGACTCAACCGCATCAGCGTCTCACTGGAAGCTTAGCCACACCGCCGTCGCCATGAAATCCCAATCAACAATTAGCGTAGAAGATAGGGTTGCGGGAGAGGAGAAAGGAGAAGAAGTGGAGACGAGTTGCAGCGGCAGAGGAGGAGTTACAACGACGGTGTAGGTCCTGTCGTCGTCTTCGCAGAGCTTCATACCTAAATTTCAGAGCTCCACCACTCCAGATTTGAAAGAAGAAGAAGGTCCTCTGCAGCGACGGACGAGGAGGCGATGACGAGTAAGAGGGGATGTCCGTAGGCGATTTTGGTGGCGGCGAAGCTGAAGTTTCATAGTTTTACCTTGAGATTTTCAATTTTCAGAAATGCGTGAAGGCATATGGAAGACAATGACCAAAACTGGGTTAAGCATTTGGGCTGATATCAATTTACAGGGTAATTTTGACAATTTTTCCCTTTTTAATCTCTTTTTAGTCCACGGTAGGAAAGGTCCTCCTTTTGTCCAGATAAAGTCCCCAGGTAATATTTTAGTCTTTTTTTCCAATTTTTTCTTAGACCAATGGTGAATCTATAAATAAATGGCTTTGTTTTTTGAAGTAATTTATTGATGAAGTTATGTAATTTTTTTATTGCAATCACCATTGTTCTAAAATATACTCCTATTTAGAAATGCAATAAGAATGTCCAAGGTCAAACTTGTTGACATTTAACAACGGTCCTGTCTTTAGAGTTTACAATGGTTCCGTTCCAAACAAAGAAACCAGGAAAGTGTTACGCTGCTCTTCTCATCTTCCTTCGTTTTCCCACTTAACACGTACAACCAGTTCACGGGATCTTCACGATATCTCACTACTCGCACACGTAGCAGCATATCAAGAGCTTACTCGCAGTTCATTTCTTTTCAGATTTTTTGAAGAAAGTAGTGATTATGGGCACCGGACCCCACGCAACTACCCAAAATTGTTTCTGCAAATGGATAAGTCAAACTATGTGCGCTGCCCACTTGGTGTCTCAAACCCGGCTGAAAATTGAATATTATCAAATGCCATTACGCATTTATTATTGTTGTTGTTGGTATGATCAAGAAAGGATCAATCTTGATAAGGACAGCTAATAGGAAAAATGGTACGAATAAAGTTCATTTTCAAGTGATTTATGAGGTTTGTGTCTGCTAGGTGTTTGAGTTTTTGATGCTAAAGAATATGTTCTGTTTCATGTTCTAATTTTTTAACAACTGGAGTAGATCTTTGTGCTGCTGACTTGGACCTGGTTTTTCAGTTTGTCCTTATGGGGGGAAGTCGTTACTTAGTCGTCTTGTGTGTCTTGCTCAACCTTCTCCATCTTCTTGCTCCTTCCTGTTCAATTGCTTTATGCACAAATTCAGGTAAGAAGCTAGTTGGTTCAGTTTTTCACGCGTTTCAACTATAGTATGACGACGATTTTGGTTTCGTGTAAGGTTTAATTTGGGTTTATGCTTGTGTTGTAGAAGCCCCGGTACTGCATAATGATCCTTTGAAGTTCTGCTCTTACAATGGAATTTCATGCTGCGACTCTGCTGATGACTTACGAATCCAGAAACAGTTTCAACTCATGAAAGTGTCCGATTCTGGTTGTGCTTCTCTTCTCAAATCTGTTCTTTGTGCTGTAAGAATCCAATTCGTAACAAATCATCTTAGTCGTTAATTACTAAAAAACAATTCTTTGATTCATTCATTTTTCTTTAACCTCAACTGATCAACTCAGCTAGCTTGCTCTCTGGTTCTGTAATGTATTAAAGTTTTTCACCTTTACACCATTTGTAGGAATGCGATAAATTCTCGGCAGAGCTTTACAGAATTAGTTCTGTTCCCAGACAAGTTCCTGTGCTATGCAACTCTACATCCTCTTCAATCTCAAACCAAACCACCCAAGGCACAAAAAGCTTCTGCTCGAAAGTGTGGACAACTTGCCAAAATGCATCCATAACAAACTCGATCTTTGCTTACTCCTTAAAAGGTCAAGTTCCTGCACCGGTAAAGTCAAACATTACAAAACTGACAGATCTCTGGCAGTCAGAAGCAGATTTCTGCCATGTGTTTGGCGGGCAATTCGTTCATGGGTCTGTTTGCTTTGAAGGCGAACCTATTACTGCCCTAAACAACACTATTCCAATAAGTCCTCCAAATGGTCTGTGCCTTGAGAAAATAGGAAATGGAACATACCTAAATATGGCTCCTCATCCGGATGGCTCCAGTCGTGCTTTTTTCTCCAACCAGCAAGGCAAAATTTGGTTAGCCACCATACCCAAGGTTTGTTCAGTATAATACTATGAAACAATGACAAATATGCTTAGTTGCAAAACTCCATAGAGGGCAGTACTCTCTTGCATGATATGAAGGATTACTCTGACTTTTAATATGCAGTGACAATAATGGTATGTGGTGAGATGATGTTCAATTTTATATAGCAGTGACCCTGATGAATAGAAACCATGCAACCATTATTTTGTCCATGAGTTATAGCTTAGGGATATTATAAGAAAACCCCGTAATAATATACTACATATTAAAGTGTAGTATGAGAAACCTCAGTGTTTAGCCTGTAGAAACTATGAAGTTGTAAGCTAAAAGCCATACACTAAAAAGTAGTAGTTTGTTATTTAACAAGGTTGGCTCTGGAGGATCATTGGAGCTTGATGAAAGCCGCCCGTTTGTTGATCTAAGTGATGAAGTTCACTTTGATACTCAGTTTGGATTGATGAGCATTGCATTTCACCCTAAGTTTACACAGAACGGACGGTTCTTTGCTTCATTCAATTGTGATAAGCAACAGTGGCCTGGATGTGTAGGGAAGTGTGCTTGTAACTCGGATGTCAAATGTGACCCTTCAAAACTGACTCCTGATAGCGGGGCCCAACCATGTCAATATCAAGCCGTAGTGGCCGAATTCACAGCTAATGGCACAACAGGATCCTCTCGTCTTTCTGAGGTATTAATAAATTGATAAAAAGGCTGTCTTTGTACTTCGTACTTCTTTTGATAATCACAATGATAGATGAATACACTTTCTAGGAAAGAAGTGCCAATGCTGGAGAAGTTAGAAGGATATTTACTATGGGCCTTCCGTTTACTGCACATCATGCAGGCCAGATTCTTTTTGGACCTGCAGATGGATATTTGTACTTCATGATGGGGGATGGTGGAGGTTCTGCTTCCTCTGATCCCTACAATTTTTCGCAAAACAAAAAGTCACTGCTCGGAAAGATTTTGAGGCTTGATATTGATAACTTCCCAAGTAAGTGAGTCGTACCGACCTCAAGATTATCTGTTTTTAACCACATGTTTTAGTGCAAGTCATCCTGTATTGAACGAATATAAAAATGCAAATATATGATTGCGCTAGTCTGCTAATTAAGTTGATCTTTGAGGGTGTAACCTTGATTTTAAATGATCTCATCAGAAAGAAAAAATCACTTTTCATTCAATGCTTTTATGTTTATATGTTCTACCCGCTTTCCAGGTGAAAAAGAAGCAAACACGCAACGCCTTTGGGGAAACTACTCTATCCCCAAGGATAACCCTTACACTGAAGATAAAGAACTGCAGCCGGAAATATGGGCCTTAGGATTACAAAATCCATGGCGGTGTAGTTTTGATTATGCAAGGCCATCCTATTTCATCTGTGGCGATGTTGGGAAGGTATCTTTGAAATGCTGCTGATATATATACCAAACTGATTTTCTCAATGAAAATATTTTTTTTTTGGTTTTAGAATTCATGCTGTAACTCATTTTTGTGTCTGGTTTTTATCCCATAGGATCATTATGAAGAGGTAGATATAATCACAAAGGACGGGAACTACGGCTGGCACATGTACGAGGGCCCCTTTCCATTTTACCCTTCAAAATCACGTAAAGGGAAATCCACAGAATCCATAAACCCAATTTTTCCAGTAATGGGATACAATCACTCTGATGTGAATAAGAATGAAGGGTCTGCATCAATCACAGGTGGCTACTTTTATCGGTCCATGACTGATCCTTGTATGTACGGAAGGTGAGCATATCCATTAACTGATCACTCTATCAGTGATCAACCATTATTCCTACAGAAAAAATTCCATCCGTTTCAAATAAAAAAACGGTTTTGTGAGGTTGACTCCTAGGATAAAGTTGATTGTCACCTACTCCTTTATAGATTCGTATTTATTTAGTGTTATTGTGTTAATAATTAAAGTTTATAAATTTTAAAAATGAAATCAGATGTTCCATTGAGGTGCAAAAACTGAATTCAAATATGGTAAGATTTTACTACTAAAAATTCACAGTAAATAGGAATGGTGTTGACACAATGTATTGTGAAATTGCAAAATATTTTGGGGAAGTGGGAGTGTTCCCCTTAGTATCCACGACAACGGGCTAGTTTTCACATTTGGTCATCAATTTTCATTTTCTTCCTCTTGAACAGTTTTGGTAGATGATTAGTTGTGTACCAGAAGGGGTAAAACAAATGTGGTGGTGGGGGGCAAAAAGCGATGAAATAGATGTGGAATATTATATTCAGATGCATACTTGCTTCTTTATTTAATATTTGCAAGATCTTAACTTTATACTCCGTAATATTTATATACTTTACTTTGACTACTCCGTATATCTTTTTATTAATGTATTAAAAATTTTTATATACACACTATTATTCAAAGTAAAATTTTAAAATACGAAGTATGATATATTTTTTTTTATATTTTTTAGTATAGTCATTTAAACATATTAACGGCTAAAGTTGTGCGTTGAAAAATGTGAAATTTAGGGGGTGTTTGGATCTACTACTTAAAACTGTTTTGCTATTTAAAGTAGCAAAAACGGATATTGGAGTGTTTGGTTGAAGGTGCAAAAGTACATCTAGGTGCTCCAAAACGCTCCTAGAAACAGTTTTTTAGAAGTTGGGGAAGAGTGGAAGACCAACTTCTGAAAAACTGATTCTGATTTTACTTCTGCTTTTAAAAAAGAAGCAGAAGCAAAATCATTTCCAAACACCCCAAGTGTTTCAGTTTAATAAGAACGGAGATACTAAAAAGTAACTTCTAAGCCACCTTCTTTGAAGAATCTTGAGATTTGTACCCGAATGGATATGGCAGGTATTTGTTTGCGGATCTTTATGGTAGTGCAATCTGGGCCGGGAGTGAAAATCCAGAGAACAGCGGAGTTTTTAACGCCACACTGCTTTCTATCGCGTGCTCTCATGACTCGCCATTAAATTGTAGCTTTGTTCCAGGAAGCTCCTCACTTCCTGCACTGGGTTACATTTTCTCGTTTGGAGAAGATAACAATAGGGACATTTACATCTTAGCCAGCAGCGGTGTTTACAGGGTTGTTCCACCTAGCCTGTGCAAGTTTAGTTGCTCAAAGGAAAATGCTACTTCCATTCCTGGCTCACATGGTGGTCCTCCCCCTGCTTCAGAGGCAACTCTCGCTTTAAGGCCGCGGTACAGAAAATGGGTAATGCTGCTATTGTCTCTGTTTTTTCTTGGCGTTTTGAGCTGATTATGTTGCTGTCCATGGTTTGGAGGCAATCTTATGTCCATGCAGTCAGAATTTCATCTTCTTCACCATCATATTCTTCGTCTACGTTTGAAGTTTTTCCCAACCATCACATGATTTGATAAGCTTGAAAAATAATTCTTGTATTTTTATTGGCGGTAGTGATGAACAAATCAAAGTCGCTAATTTATCCGGAATCATGATTCTGCAATACTGTTAACTTTATTTATTTACAAAGGATATTGCTTTCTTTTGATGAGAGGAGATATTAGTAGCTACTCCGTAGTACTCCCTCCGTCTCATAAAATTATTCTCGTTTTGACTTGAATCGACGTTTAATAGTCTGTTTGTTTGAGTGTTAACTTAGGTTATTGCAGGTTCAATTTTTAGTTAACCTCGTTTGTTTGTATTTTTACAACAAGAACTTAGGTTATTAGTAAATTGGGGTTAACCTCACTTTACTCGGTACTCACGAGAATCTGGAAAAAAATGGAGAACCTTTGTAGTGGGGGTTTTGGAGGTTAAGTTCTCGTGTAAAATATAGTTTTCTGTCCATTCCGATTATCACCTCACCAGGCTTCACTCCTTAATTTACACGTCCTTTCTCCCTCGGCTCCCTTTATCTGCACGTTTCTCTCGCTCGAGTTTCATTATACAGCCAGCTTCAATCTCCACCCCATTCCATTGTAGCTCACCAGGTTCTTCTCTTCCTCACCTACCCCTCCTCCCCTCTCATCTTCTCCTCTATTATTCTTCCCTCGCCTTTTCTCTCTGCCTTTAGGTACTTTTCGTTCTTTCATGTGCTGTGCTAATTGAATTACATTAGGAGTCGCTCTAATATTATTTACAAGAGTGCATTTCCTGTCCGGCCAGGCCGGCCAGGACCTCCGTCCGGCCACCTCAATTTGAGGTGGTTTCAGGTCGTATTTTTGGCTGATTTTTTTTGTGTATGTTCCTCATCAAGTCTAGTTCATCCATACCAAATTTCAGAAAAAAACTCAGTCGGGAAGGTTGTCAAATGATTTTTGCATGAAAACTGGTCCGGAATATACATATAAAACGCAGTTTTCATGCAAAAATCTAAATTTAAATCCATACATTAAATTTTACGTATGAATTTAAATCCACTTATGAATTTAAATCCACTTATGACAAAACCGGGTCGGCCCGCCCGGCCCACCCAGCCCTCCCGCACAAATGGGCAGGCTTGGGCATATATATTTACCCACCGGGCCGGTCCGAGCCCGACCCGCAATAAGATATGGGCGGGCTTGGGTTAGGGTGTAGGCCCGTTCGGGCCGATAAGCCCGGCCCGCTACATTTAGTATATATATATATATATATATATATATATATATATATATATATATATATATATATATATATATATATACACACACACACACACTAATTTATTTATTTATTTGCATATACACATGTATATTTATATTTACTAATTTTTCTTTATACATATTTATAGTTTATTATGTTTAAATTTAAATTTTGAGTTCTTAACAACTAGCCCAACCAATATAATATCTATTTTTGTACTTAAAGATAATACTTTGTGCTTAAATTTTAAATTTTAGATATAGTTTCTCATTATTATTTTTGTGTAAGTATTTTTTTTTGTATGTGGTGAATGACGTATAAACATTATAAGCGTATTAATTATTTTCTAAATGTTGTAATATTATTTTTAAAGTATTTAAAAAATCATATAGTTTTGAAAAAATTAAAGTTTTCTCGAGCCGGGCGGCCCGGTGGACTACCCGGCCCGCTCTTATGGGTGGGTATAGACATAGGGTTAGGCCCGTTTTTGCAGGCCGGGCCGGGCCCGCCCACACATGATGGGCAGAAAATTTATAAAAAGCCCGGCCCGAGCCCGGCTCGAACCCGTTTTTGTACAGGTCTAGTTTATATAAGTTCACTTTACCCAAATGGAGCATAAGAAAGTGGGAAAAAAGTGAAAATGATTATGATTAATTAAGAAAAATGCAAATGATGTCAGTCACACAAAACTTTCCAAAAAAAAAATTGAAAGATTGTTTTGGAACGTCACAAAGAGATGAGTGAGAAGAATTTTAATCGGATAGAGGGAAGGAGTATAACATTCTCGACTTCTTCCAAGTTCCAACGCCAAGATCCACATTTCTAATTTACTTTTTGAAGGAACACTCATTAATATTAGTCAAAAACCTGTTTACTTTGATTTATATCAAATCTAAAATTCTACATTAGTGTGTGTTACATTTAAGCAGATGATTAAATCAGAATTCAGTAAATTGATTCTGGCCAAACTTAACTAGTCTAGTGAATCGGATTATATAGATGTATAAGACCTAATTGTTCCAGATTACAAGTGAAACCGCCCGGTCCTTAGTGAATTGACCAAAATTAATGGCCCATTTGGTATGATGCAAAGTAAACACTTTGCGTGTAAAGTATAATCAAGTAAACATTTTACACTGTTCATTTTAAATATTTAATGTAAGTTGTGTAAGTTGTAGGACACTTTTTTAAAATATTTGACATTGTATCATGTAAAATACTCTGGATATGTTGATAGGGAGTTGTTTTTAAGCGTCAATGGTGAGTTATACATATATCGATTTATTAAGGAAAATCTGTCAAATAAGTTCATCTATTTTTACTAAAAAGTCAATTGAGTTCACATACTATAAAATGAATCAATTAAGTCCTCAAATTGTCAAAAAATGGTCAAATTGGACATTTAACCGAGCATACAGTTTCCGGTTATATCGTCCAGGTGGCTTATTTTTACTATTTTTAACTCTTTTTTCTCTTTCTTATTTATTTTCTATTTCATTTTCTTTTCTCTTTCCTTAGTTCCTTCTGCGTGTACGGCAACCCCAGCTTGAGTTTCCCTTCTCGTTCGGTTTCTCCCTACTCCCTAGCAGATGCACTCATGCATCAGTCTATGGATGTTGGGGCGGCGGAGTTAGAGGGGCCGCGCAGGCAGTGAATATGGCGGTAGGGACGGCGGAGGTTGTAGCTATGCCCTATGGAGGTAGGAACGGCGGGGGATGGGGGTTGGCGGTCACTCCAATGCAAGAGGCGGTGGTGGAGGCCACGGTAGTGGTGGTCGGAGGCGGTTTGAACGCAAGTAGGGGCGACGGAGGTTTTGGCCGGAGGAGGCGGTTGGAAGTCGGAGGAGGCGGTGGTGTAGGCCGGAGGCTGTGTGTGTGAAGGTAGGGGCTAAGGGCTGGCGGAGATGAGGTGGAGGACGGGGGGCAGTGGCTATGGAGGCCAGGCCGGCGGAGGAGGTGGTGGCTATGAAGGTAGGTGCGACGGAGGTCTATCCAGTCGGAGGTGGCGGAGATCGGTCTAGTTAGAGGTGATAGAGGTGGTAAAAATGGTGAACTTAAAAGAATTGTGGGAGGTGGTCCAAATTGAAAAAACAGAAAAGCCCACAAGCTTGGGGGAGGAGACCTGGATAGGAGATGAGCGGACCAAGAACAAAGCTGATAACAAAAAAAATATAAAAAAATACGAAAACAGTAAAACAATGCCATGTGAAACATCCATGTCAGCGTTTGACCGGGTAACAGGTGGTTTACCGGTTAAATGGCTAATTTGGTCATTTTGTATTACTTCATGGACTTAATTGATTCGATAAAATGTATATGGACTTAATTGACTTTTTATTTAAAGTAGGTGGCCTTATTTGACAGTTTTCCGATTTATTAACTAAACCTAACTTTAGAAGACTGAGTTTGATGACAAAGGAAAAATGTTGACAACAATAAATTACTTTTCTCTTCTATATAACAAAATAAAATCGGCAACCATCATAAAATCTTTTGATTTAATGACTCAAATAGGACTAATAGCAAAGTTAATTGCACATTTAGGAATACAAACGAAACTCAAGTTTCGTAGGACTAATTTCAGCTCAATTGGAAAAAATACCCCTCTTTTAAATTTTAAAATTCTAAAAATGTAAAATAAAAACTATTAAAACCCTAACAGTATCACTGCCACTGCCAGATCCAAACGGCCTGCCACCGCCCCTAGCCGGCGCATCCTGTCGCCGCCCTCATCGGCACATCCTACTGCTGCCCTCGCCAATGACGACACTGCTTGCCGCCGCCGCCGCCGCTTCCCACACCGGCGTCGCCATTTGACCGATGTCATCATCAACTACCACCACCATCCGCTGACCACCACCACCATCGTAACAACTCAGGCGGAATAAATTTGTCATTATGTTGTCAGATTTAGAGTTGGGGATTAGATTCACATCTGCCATACACAAGAGTTTCAGATCTGCCAAAGAGTTGTCAAATTCATGTTGGAATATTAACACAAAACTACCATAAATTTGGCAAAAAATTGAAAAACATGAAGTAAATATCCAAATATTCAAACACCTAATTTTTTTTATGGAATAATTTTTTAGCACAATCAGAAAGTAGTAAAAAGAAAGCTATTGACAAAAAATAAGAAAAACCAATTTATACAAAAGTCTTTCTGCCATTAGATGATGTCAATGTACAAATTTCTGCCATAAACTTGGTCAAATATGAAGCAATCATCCAAAATGTTTGAAAATCGGATTTTTTTAAACTCAGAACCCATAAACCAGAAAATAAAATAGAAGTCCGAAAATTGGAAAAATCAATTCAAAATTCTGAAAAACAAAGGAACATGGAGGAAGAGGAGGACCTTAATGACAGTGGCGCAAGATGAAATCGACAGCAGCAGTGGCGTGAAACACAAGTCGATCGATCTAGTGCGCAAGGCGAAGTCGACGACGATGGTTTAGGGTGATGTCGATCGATGAGCGCAAGGAAGAAAGGGAAAGATGTGCGTAGGAGGAAGGGGGAATGAGTTGAGCGCAGGGCATGAGAGAGGAGAGATGTGTACATGAGAGAAGGGGTAATAATGGAATGAAATATACGTATGTTTTAGAATAAGAGTAAATCAATCCTATTTAAAGGAAAAAATGGCCCTATTTGAGAATTTCTTTTCTCTTTTAATCCTATATATGGAGTATAAAAATCTTTTCTCCGTCGGTTAGCAGTGCACCTTCCAAGAGTTTAGCTTCTATACCAAAAAAAATTGACACATCCCTGAGGATCCAAACACTGCCGGGACTTGGATGGAAATATAATAAATGAAGTATAGAAATTGCCTGAATTTGCAATCCTGGATGGCCACCCCACTCATGGTGAACGGCGCCGTGAAAACGCCCACACAATTGTATAGTATTACATCGGTTCCAATGAGCTTTGCACTCTTTAATTAAGTGAGAATAAGAATAGTAAAAATTGTGTGATTAAAGTTTTCACAGAAGAAGGACAAATGAGCAGAATCACAAATTAGTTATTTTAGTAAGAAATTGGCAAAGTTTTTTGACAAGAAAAATTTGGCAAAGTCCAATAAAATGAAGGGAGTACATGCTTGCAGTTTTGCTATTTTACCTGTAAACTAATTACAACCCTACACTTTATCATTTGCCTGAAAATTTTAATGTGTGAAAATCAATGGAACCTGTAAAATATTGCAAAACAAGAGTCTATCTGGATTTTATTATTTTCCCGAAAAATCAACACCACCAAATCGAGACCTCTAGCATAAGGTAAATATCTCTTGAAAACATAGCATTGTCTTCTATATCGCGTTTTTTTGTGTCAACAAAAAAATCCCACGTTTTTTAATTTTTTGGAAAAACAGAAAATATTTATTTTTGTTAGTAAACAAGGTCTTATCTTCCACACAAAGAGAAACTCCGTCCCCGAATTAAGTTACCACTTTCCTTTTTGAGCAGTTCCTAAATTAAGTTCACACTTCCTTACTTTCCTTATTGTTCAAAACAGTGTCAAACAGTACAAAACAATGTCAAACAGCGTTAGAACAGTGCACTCCACAGTAAAGTCAAATTTATTTTCTTAATACGTGTGAAGTCAAACCAGGAACTTAATTGGGGGACAAGAAGGAACTTAATTGGGGGATAAAATTACTGGAGAAAAGCTAGCTAGGCTATGGTGGTGGGCCGGTGGCATTACCCTAATTGATAGTTTTAAGCCCAGGTGCCTTTGAGAAGAGGAGTGATGGCGGCAGCCTCCCCGCCAAAAGTGCTGACCAAACCAGAGGAACAGGGCTCGTGGTGGCCCCCCATTTCCTCCACTTCCGTCTTCACCTTCCGTCCCAGCTCCTCATCAATGTTATCAGAAGCCGGTATTAGCAGAAACTCACAGCCCTCGTAGTTCAAGAAATCCGGCGGGTCTGCCGGACTGAACTTCCGCTGCCCCATCTCCGCCTGCAGATGTGCCGGAAATCCAGCCCTCCTCTTCCTCTGCAGCCCTCTCCAACCCCCACGCCCGCTCTGTTCTTCAGGGTTCTTGATCTGTATTATAAACGAAGCTTCTCTCTTTATGTTAAGCTCCTCTTGCGGCTCGTTCCTCCCGTCTTCCGCCGGGAATTCCAGCTTGTATACTAAATGGGTGTGCATTTTCTTCCCCGGATTATGCCTCAGGATGAGATACTCCCCCTCTCCGGCCGCCCTCGCTGGGCCCACCGTCCGGTGACCTCTGGTCGAAGTCTCGTACTCCTCCGCCTTCAATGCCGCTCTCACGTCCTCTGTTTTTGTCGTCACCATCTCCACGAACCCCCAATGCGGGATGTGACCGGATTTCTTGCCCGACGGGTCCGGCAGACTCTTCCTCCCCATGACGATCAACCGGAGAAGCAGCTGCTTCTCGATGTTGATTTCTTGGCACCCATGTCCTCCCTCGACTTGTGATTTGTCCTTCCTCTCCGACGTGACGTCACGGGTTGGTTCGTCTTCGCCGGTGTGTGCACCGAGCTCGGCTCCTTCCTTCCCGGAGCTCTGTTCTTGCTTGACTTCCACATCCCTCTGGCCGGACTCTGGTCGGAGAACTATGTAGAGTCGTTGCACGTCGTCCCTGTCGTGCGCTTCGTCCTTGCCGACTTTTGGCCGGTAAAAGAAGAAAATTTCCCCGCGTTCCTACAGGAAAGCATAAAAAATTAAGAACCAAAGGGATTGAGGATGCGGTAATTAATTGTGAAATTCACCTGTACTTCAACAGAGGGATCGCTTGTTCTTGTCTGGGATTTTTGTCCTTCACCCGCCATGTTTTATGCTGGTTACTGTTTACGACATTAGCTTCGGTTTTTATACGCCGGCCGGTGGAAGAGGCTGTGACTGTCCATACAGCACGCAGTCAGCAAGGAGGAAGACGCGTGTCCTTCACTTGGCCTGCCAAAACACCCTGATGGACTGCCACTGTATGTTCTCGGACAACGTAACGCGTTATTGGGTTGCTTTTATTGGGCCGTTTTAAATCCATTAATATATCATTATATAAAAGCAAAATAATGAACAGTGTTCCCACCCATGAAAAGATGCATAGCTGGAAATTACAAAAATAGCCTCATGCAGGGTAAAATTGCACAACATGAATTAATTATGGGATTTGAACCGTTAAGCCGTAAATTACAGGATTGAACAGTTTCAAATTGACAAAATATCTCTGCAAAAGTACCGTTTGTTGATGGAAAAGACCTCTTCCCTTCTTTCGGCGGCTGGGTATTATGAATAAAGCTAGGTAAATTGAGTAGTTTACATCATCTACAGTAAAGTTAAACAGTAAAAAGTAGTAAATGGTGTTTGATATCAAGGCATCTTCAAAACTTCAGTACAAAGTTGTATAAAAAGCAGCATACATCAAATCTGGCCAGCCTGTCTTGGAGCATGCGTACATGTTCTTGGGAAAAAATCATCCCACAACTTTGGCCAACCTGTCCTTGGGAAACATGATACTCCGTTACTTCTTTGGGAAGGATCATCCATGTTTTCCTATAAATACTAACCTGATTTCAAGTGAACACCACCCAATCCTTCTGCGTCTTTTCTTTCACTTGAGGTTTTGAGCCTACAAGCAAAAATATCATCCATATATACACGTGTGAGTATAAGCAAACTTGAACAACTGAAAGGACAAAAGTAAATGGGAATTCAACTCCAGAGGACAAAAGGACAACTGAAAGGTCTAGACTTCCTACAATTTCTTGATGACTACGGAGTATCTTACAAAGAAGCAGACACCAACAAAGCAATGGGTCTCTCCACTTCCAATCCCTAATGATCTTTTCCTAAACTGATCTTTTTATCTGAACTAACTCGATGAAAGAATTCTATTTCAGCTACGTAGACAACCAAAATTTTGATAAAAGATCATCAACATTAAACAAAAAACGGAGTTATCTATGTTTTGATTTATTCATGCATTCTATGTTTTTGTAATTCCAGTCATTACTAAATAGACACACACAATGATACATACACACATACATAAATAAACACACACACATACATAAATAAACACACACAGTGATCATTCAAAACATATTTTTAGAATATTAAAGGTTGACTTGGTTGAAGAAATGGTTGGAAGTAAATGTTACTCTCAGTTTTAATAGCATGGCAGTTTAGATTTTACATTTTAGGAAACCAATAGGAAACAATAAGCACAATCATATATATGCTGGACATGTTGTAGATCATATCAGAATTTCAGAATCTGCAATTTCAAAATCTAACCATACTATAAAACATTGATGTTTTAATACAACTTCCAAAAATGAATAGGTATGTGCTAACAGTAATTGATTAGGTATCTATTTGCAAAAATGAGACAATTATGTGTATATTGGCAGTGACATTTACATATAATAATAGATAGAAAAAGCATCGAGTAGATAAGGCTAACAATACATAGGACTGCCTATAGTACAAAACACCTCCAATTACAAAACAATTATTCCAGTTCGTTCTTAAATATTACTTTAACAGACCATTTATCAATACGGAGTATTTGTAACACCACCCTCGAGTATGTACTGTACCAAATTATGTATTGAACCCTGAGAAATGAATAAAAGCATTTTTACGTGGTTGTAAATTTTTATCATTTCTTTTACGTGAATAGTAAAATTCACGTGAGGCCCACACCGGAAGTGGGGGCCGCCCGATATTATCGGGACCACATATTATATTAATCTTGGACTAGGTAATATTTATATGGTGGTGGATATCCTAATTGGGCCATGGCAATGACATAGGGTTGACCGGTTGGTCAAACGGGGCCAATTATCGGTATCGGCAATTTATCAGATAAACGCCCAAAAAGGGATTCTGGAGACTTCTAAATTAAAGTTGGGGAATGCATATTGATTCTAAGGTCCAATAAGGATTGGGAACAAGTGTTATATTTTATTCGACCCGGTAAAATAAAATATAATTAAAACAGTCCGGAAAATACAACTTTCGGGGCCGAGTGTACGCATCGGGACACAAAGGGGTGACCTCCCACATGTGTGGGGGCCAACCCACGACTTTTAGTCCTGCGGTTGACAAGGGGAGCCGCACAAAGAGAAGGGGGAGGGGAAAGAAAAGGGGTTGAGGGGAAAGACATTAAATGGAGTAGGGTCTCCCACATGCCATGATTGTGAGAAATGCCAAGAAGGCATTCTCAATCACACCAACTCACCCCATTCGTATCAGGCATCAACCAAGTGAGAGAAGCTCTGCAGATAATCCATTTTCATCCATCATACACGCACCAAGTTAAGGGAGGAAGAAGAAAGGAAAAAGAGAAGAGAAGAGAGGAGTTTAGGTGGGAAAACTTGTGTTTAACAAGGTAATGACTCCATTAATCTCATTTCTTGTTCTTCAATCCTATTATATGATTATTCAATCATATTTCACACCCTAGTATTGTTCTACATGTTTGGAAGTGTAGAATGAGGGGTTGGAAGGTAGTTCTAAGTCCAAGAACGGACTTAGAAACCAAAGTGACCGGTTCGCTGGAAAATAACCTTTTGAGGTTATTAGTATTACTATGGGTTTTATGATGATAAAACCTTGTTAGTAACTTGTCTAAGGTATTCAAGGAACTTTCACGGAGTTGAAAGGGTCTCCGGAGTTGTCTCCGGAGTTTGTTGAAGTTCGTCGGAGTTTCGCCGGAACTAAATCGGGAAGGCTAGAACTTCATAAGCTTCATTAAGGTGAGAAGACGGCTTTATGCTTTATAACTTTTGCGTGAGGCATGAGATTACCTAAAGTAATCAAAAATATTTTTTATGGAATGATTAAGGATAATCAAGTATTTGCTTATGCTATGTTTATATATAAAACATAGTTGAAAAGCATGTTATTTACGTTTGATGGGTAGATACTCAATCGAGTATACATTGAAAATTAGCCTTACGGGCTACTGTCTCCTGTACTCGACCGAGTATAGATGGGTACTCGATCGGGTTATATATACTCAAAACGGGCAGTTTTTGAGTAGGTTAACGTGGGTCGTTCAGGTGGGACCCGTCCACGTTGATTACTAAGGATGTTTATATGACTATAGGGCTAGGTATTTCCCATAGTTAAGGGAATGAAAGGTTAGCCATATCCAGGTTAGGATTTGGTAGAGAATAGACTGGGGATTGAGTACCGTTGGACGGGAAATGATCCAAAATACTCGAGGTGGGGTCGAGTACCCTTGGACGGTAAATGATCCAGAATACTCCAGGTGGGGTCGAGTACCCTTGGACGGTAAATGATCCAGAATACTCCAGGTGGGGTCGAGTACCCTTGGACGGTAAATGATCCAGAATACTCCAGGTGGGGTCGAGTACCCTTGGATGGTAAATGATCCTAAATACTCCAGGTTGGGTTGAGTGCCTTGGACGGTAAATGATTCTAAAACACTCGATAGTATGAATCGAAGGTAGACTATAGCTTGTGAGCTAGGCAACTGGAACTTCATAAGCTAGAACTTATGAATCCGTCTTCTCACCTTAAAACACTCGGTAGTATGAATCCTAAAACACCGGGAAAGGAGTGAGAAAAGTCAAGTAAGAACTTTATCTTTAAAAGACTCTTTAAGGTAAATGACCTACGGGTTGAGTATTTTACGAGTATATATACAGTATGTATCATCAGGTGGATGAGAGACATCTATATATATGTATCATCCTATTTTTGGGTCTCGTGTGTGAAACATTAGTTATTCTTCATATAGCCTGCTTGTCACTAGTACTTCTATGGAGTACTGACCCCTCCGGGGGCCCTCACATTTTTCAGGTTAAGGCTAGAGTCCTACTACCTGCACCTTTGCCTAGGATGATTGTCCAAGGAGGAAGACGTGGTTCGTGCTTCCATTCGTATTTGAAATTTATAAACTACTCATGGATATTTGGACAATGTTTTCTTCTAAAAAATAGTTGGGAGCCTGCGTGCTCGTGTTTGCCATGTGTGGCTAATTATCAAACATATTATATTTTTCGCATTTGTTTGATTATGATATTGATGTTGATTGTATGTGTTTACTAATCGATTTGGCAATAGAATCTATCGGACGCCTTGTATGATTCAATAAGGATGAACTAATGTTGTTCTTATCGGGTTGTATGGCGGTTGTCTACATGGATCGGATGCGGTCCGGGGTGTGACAATTAAGTGGTATCAGAGCCATCGATTTCTAAACTATATAATTAACCTCTCAATATGGTTATCCTCAAAAAGTTTTGAATAAAACCATGAGCAAAAGATTTTGTACTTAAGGAACCGTTGGAAACCAAGTTATTGACCTCTTATTGTTAAGACGGTACCCTTAATAGTTTGTTGGCCATAATGTTGGACCAAGGGGTGTCTTTTGTACCATTCCGTCATTTGACATTTAAGCAAGTCTAATGGCTCATTCCTTACTTCTTTCAGAAATGGAGGGTGGGCGCAGAATAACTAGGAGGAACCCGACAGGGCATGTGCCGGGGGCCACCGGGCATGCCACTCGGGCGAAATCACGGACCTCTAGGGGTAGAGGCCGGGGCCAAAGCCGAGGAGGAGGCCGAGGCAGGGGTCTTGGGCGTTCTACAACGCCGATGACAAGTAGCACGCGCGTCGGTTCTGTGCACCCGTCATGGGCCACCGAACCGGACGACTTCACCTATGCTCCAAGCACGGAGCAAGAGGAGACCCCGTACAACGGGGAGGACTTTGAGGAAGAAGATGAGGATGATGATCCTCATTATGACCGTATGAGTGAGGTACTAGAATGGTACCTCGAGAATAAGGCAAAGAGAGAGCAGCGACGCCAAGCTAGACAGGCTAGGCAAGCCATGGGGCAGGGAAGCCGAGGTGCTTCTAGTGCTCCATCTGGGGCATTCGGGGGAGACACGATGGTACGTATCTCCAAGTACCTCAAAGAGGCTAGAGCCTTGGGGTGCAAATCATTTGATGGCAAGGGCGACATATCTGAGGCCGCCGACTGGATC